TGGGACATTTGTGTTGCTTTATGGGACATTTGTGTTGATGTATGGGACATTTGGGTTGCTGTATGGGACATTTGTGTTGCTTTATGGGACATTTGTGTTGCTGTATGGGACATTTGTGTTGCTGTATGGGGCATTTGTATGGGGCATTTGTGTTGCTGTATGGGACATTTGTGTTGCTGTATGGGACATTTGGGTTGCTGTATGGGACATTTGGGTTGCTGTATGGGACATTTGTGTTGATGTATGGGACATTTGGGTTGCTGTATGGGACATTTGGGTTGCTGTATGGGACATTTGGGTTGCTGTATGGGCATTTGGGTTGCTGTATGGACATTTGGGTTGCTGTGTGGGCATTTGGGTTGCTGTGTGGGCATTTGAACTGTAGGTTCACTTTACTACAGTTAGAACTTTATTAGACAGGCTTAAACTGAGCCTGCTAGAACTTCCGCACAATAACTTTTATTTCACCACTGTTGATGTTTCCGCCCTCCTCCCCCTCCCGTAGGTTCTATGTTAATGTATCTTACCCCCCTCACCCCCACCCCCTCCTCTATGTTTATGTATCCTGCCTCCTGGGGTTCTATTTTCAAAGATTGAGGGTTCCTGTTTTTTGAACCGACTCTAGCCCTGGCCGTGTATGCCGCGGTAAAAGAAAAGGTAAGTCGTCTAGTGGCTAAGGGGAGAGAACCGATCAACGTGAGCTGAACCAGCTTTTAATGAGAAGAAATAGTTTATTGTTTACTTTGGCCCGGGTTTCACGTGCAGCCTTCGCTGCTCACTCATTAGCACCTTAAACTGGCTAACCCGAGAAGGCTGGGAGCCAGGTGAGGCTCTCTGTGCTTAATGGGAGGGGAGGGTTCGTTGTTTTGGTTGGGTTTTTTTTTCTTTTAGTCTTAGCGGTTTTTAGGTGAACTGTCAAACTTCATCAAGACTAGACATCTTAAACTGTCGTTTATTCAACTGCTAGATGCGTTCTAGCTGTCATTTTCATTAGTGGTACCATGTTTTATTTTTAGATTTAATTATAACCCCCCCCCTCCTTTCTCTCCCCCACCACCCCACCCCCGCCTTTGAAAAAATGGAACCAAAATGAAATATTCTGCAAGAAAATATTTATCTGTTGCTCGTCTCAAACAACCGCTGTTGAATTTCTTGAATTAACATTCGCCCTCACCTCACTGGCGGGTATACGTCGACCTTCTGGTTGGTTGGATAACTAAAGCTCAGTTCACACCCCGCTACATGTACCTCACACACACACACAACCTGTGCCTCACACCCACACAACCTGTACCTCACACCCACACAACCTGTACCTCACAGCCACACACCCAGCCCACAACATGTGCCTCACACCCACACAACCTTTACCTCACACCCACACAACCTGTACCTCACACCCACACAACCTTTACCTCACACCCACACAACCTGTACCTCACACCCACACAACCTGAGCCTCACACCCACACAACCTGAGCCTCACACCCACACAACCTGATCATCACACCCACACACCCACACACCCACACACCCACAACCTGTACCTCACACCCACACAACCTGTACCTCACACCCACACAACCTGTACCTCACACCCACACAACCTGTACCTCACATCCACACAACCTGTACCTCACACCCACCCGACCTGTACCTCATACCCACACAACCTGTACCTCACACCCACACAACCTTTACCTCACACCCACACAACCTGTACCTCACACCCACACAACCTGAGCCTCACACCCACACAACCTGAGCCTCACACCCACACAACCTGATCATCACACCCACACACCCACAACCTGTACCTCACACCCACACAACCTGTACCTCACACCCACACAACCTGATCATCACACCCACACAACCTGATCATCACACCCACACACCCACAACCTGATCATCACACCCACACAACCTGATCATCACACCCACACAACCTGTACCTCACACCCACACAACCTGATCATCACACCCACACACCCACAACCTGTACCTCACACTTACACAACCTGTACCTCACACCCACACAACCTGTACCACACACCCACACAACCTGATCATCACACCCACACACCCACAACCTGTACCTCACACCCACACAACCTGATCATCACACCCACACACCCACACAACCTGTACCTCACACCCACACATCCTGATCATCACACCCACACAACCTGATCATCACACCCACACACCCACACAACCTGTACCTCACACCCACACAACCTGTACCTCACATCCACACAACCTGTACCTCACACCCACACAACCTGTACCTCACACCCACACAACCTGTACCTCACATCCACACAACCTGTACCTCACACCCACACAACCTGTACCTCACACCCACACAACCTGTACCTCACACCCACACAACCTGTACCTCACACCCACACAACCTGTACCTCACATCCACACAACCTGAGCCTCACACCCACACAACCTGAGCCTCACACCCACACAACCTGTACCTCACATCCAC